GTGTACTCTGATTAATTTTTATTATTCTTATAAAGTGTTACAATATATTATGAATTTTATAATCTATTTACTAATCCACCTGCCTTATTAATAATGTTAATATTCTTTTATAATGAAAATAACCAAGATCATCTCTTCCCATTCATTTAAATTAATCAAAACTAACTCTTTCCTTTACATCATTTTGCTACCCTTCATGTTGTCATCCAAAATGAACTTACTATTAAATAATGAATCCATTGCAAATTATCTGTGTAACAATAGTTTGAAATATTTTAATGCTATACTTGGCACACTGTAAAAGAGGATGTATGCCTCAATACTGTAAAAATGTTCAGGGCTTTTTATCTTTGCTAAAAACAGAACATGAAGATACCTAATGAAAAATAAAGAGAAATAGTCACTTTAATATACTGGGCTCAAAAAAAGGCCTGTGTCAAGAAAACAGAACAAACAAGAGTCAGGCAGTCATATAACAGAAACACTTGTTAAAGCAAAGAGAGGTCAGTAATTTTTTTAAAAATAGCAGTATTTTGAAAAACTGAAAACCAGTTACTCCTGTGATATGAAAACTGTAAATATATATTTTTAAAATATGACAATAACCATTTCTTTAATGAACAAATGATGAACAAAGGATAAAATGAAACCGGCTCTGATTTCTTTGTTGAGGAAAACAGAAAAAATGATTCTTCATAAAATGAAACTCCCTAGTAGTGCAAATAGATATTTCTTTAAGACAATTTTAGTTGCATTAATAACTGCGAGAACACAAGGAACCTTTCATTTAGATAAATTCTCAAGTAGCATTCACTTCTCATCATTTAGCAAAATTCCATCAGGATGAAACATTTTAAGGCAACGATTTATACAGAATATGTGAATAAAAGCGATTAAATCTTTACTGAATTCTGGAGATAAAGCTTCTTACCATTTATTAAAGAGGGGGAGGGAAAGGGTAATATCTGAGGTAGCCTAAAAACATCAGAAAGCGGTCAACAATTGCTTTAAGTATTTAACAAGGAAGTAACAGAAAGGAGTGTAAACCTAACTCAACATTTTACAAGAGAAAAACAGACAGTAAACTTGTATTTACAAATAATGAACACATGGAGAGGAATTGTACTTAAAACTCAGGGCTTGCTATTGATCATGCTCTGTCAGTTGGAGTTCTGCCACTGATTTCAGGGGAAGAAGAATTGGACCCCATATACAGCCGTATTGCCACAACCACCACCAGTTATTAAGTTTTGTAACTATCTCACCTCCCACACATATATTTCTTTCTCAGTAGGTTCTGCAGCCAAGGCTGTTGAGCTTATCTCATATTTACAAGGCTGGTGAATGCCTGGCAGCAGCTGATAGGGACTGCTGGATAAGAAAATGTAGATCTGTAGTTCACCCAGAATGCCTGAATCATTAGGGAACTTTAAAACTGGTGACAATATACAGTAGTTTTATTATTAAGGGGGAGATATTTATAGCCAGGGGAAGTCAAATCTATCCGCAGCAGTGGGTTTCCAAGGAGAAGTCATTTAAATACATGTAGAAACTAAAGATCTCTGCTTTCATCAACTCTTCTCATTACCGGAGCTACGTTCAGTCAGAAGTCTAACTTTAAAATGATAATTTATCTCACCTTGAGATTAGGATGTATAAGATTCAAATTGTATTTTATGATTTATCAAAACTGAGTTCCATATAAATAGAATAATTAATTTTCTTCAGTGCTCTTGTAAATATATTTAATTAAAAAATTGGTAATATATGGGGGAAATGTGGTCATCTAAAAATATGCCACTGTTAAGGGTTGTTGCAATTTAATATTTTATTTTTAAAACAACCTAATTGTTAAGTATATAATTGATGTATCTAACATTTCTATTCAGATGCAGTTATGAAAAAAATCAATGTATTAAAAGAGTTCCTACTATTGTTTTATTTTTATTATAAAGCTTATGCCTCCAGATTTCTTACTGCTTATTTTGATGAAGATCAAACTTACCTTAGTCACCATCCTGTGGAGAAACACCTGGGCAGCAAGGGAACCATACTGGATACTGGCAGCTAAGAAGACATGTGAAGAAGTGGGAGGAGGAGAAAGCCAACCCTCTACCCAAAAATGTTATGTCTTTGCCATTTTTTAATGGTGTCAGCTTTTTAAGAATTTGGGCCTAATTTAGCTTCTACTGAATCCAATGGATGTGGGATCAAGCCCAATTAGTGTTTTTATCTTTCAGTTCTATTACAATTAAGTGCAGTTCCATTAAACAGGTGCATGGGGTAGGCGGTAGTTTTATAAATACATTATAAACTCGCTCATGCATTTTTTAATTGAATACAGAAAGCACCTTCTGCATTTCTGTAGTTCAGCTTCATTGTTGCTAAAATGAATGGTGGTAATTAATCTCTTTATTGCATTTATTATTTACCCTGTTGTTGTTTTTTGTTTAATCCAAAAACAGGGTTTTTCTATACAACGATTAACAGTTTTTAAATTAGTTTTATTCCTTTGACAGAGAAGCGTGCACTATTCTGTTCAGATCATACAACAGTACTGAAATTAATGCTTGAGGAAAAAGTACACATTTTTAAAGCAAGCATTACTACAAATGATCTCTTTCAAAAGAACTGTATGTATATTTTCACAACTGTCCACTGATTTACATGGAAAGTATTTTTTAATAATTTGACTTCAACTAATTTGAGTTAGACCATCCACTGAGCAATAGACAGCAGTACCCCAAACAAATACCAAGCCTACTTAGATAAACAAGTATGTTTACCTTAGTATCTGCACTAGTCCCTTCTGCTTCAATATATTTACTAAAGGAAATGCATTGACTGCTGTAAATACTCAGGTAATTGAGCTGCAAACATTTATTTAATTAAGACAACTAGTAAATTAAGCACTACTACTTTTAATTGCTGTAAGTAATGTGAAATCACTTAAAAACCTTAATATTTAGACAAAACAACAATAGCATTAAGCTATATCTCACCAACACTTTTTAGTCACAACTCAGTGATACAAATGGAAACTTCTGCTTACAGCAGTATTATATGGTCTGTTGATATGACATATGAAATATCATTCTGGGACATCTCAGTGAAGTAGAAAGAGTTCATGCCTGAAACTCTGGCCTTATTCAAGTCAGTGGAAAAACTCCCATTGACTTGAAAGCAACCAAGATTTTATTCCTGACTTCTATTTGATTGATCTATACAGACAGGTATATGATCCCCATCACTGTGATATTTGAATATATCTTCAGAGATAATGCTGCTTACTATTGTTCAACCCAGCGTTTCTGGATTAGAAATACCCTGGTAAAATACAAACATTTACAGTGACTCTTTTACAAACCATTTCAACATTTATTTCAGTTTGATACAGCTTGATATAAAATATTGTATGTTTTCAATAATGAACTAAAAAACTAATATTATTATAATAACAGTAATGTATTGAAGAATTATGATGTTATATGGTAGAGTTTTATTTTTCTATAATGGTAAGGATAATTGAAGTATTTGCACCATTTTATCTTATTCCAAAAATTAGCCTTTAAGTTCATTTACTCAAAACTTCGAAGTGCTCAAAAATCCACAAAAACAATCTGTTGTATTTATTTTTCAGGTCCATTCTAACTCTGTGCACAACTTAATTAGCACAATAAATAAAATGCATATAGTTTACATGTGTTATATTTCTTGAAGTCCCTTTCAACCTTTTGTAGATTTTCCTGTGCTATATATTGCAAACAGACTATGCTGCCCATTGGACAAAGCCCTTGTTACCAACTGCTTACTGAATAAGTTGTGCCTCACCGAGATGGACTGCTTACGCTGTCACAGGAGAAAGTTGTCAGAGAGAGTCAGACGTGCAACTGATTTCACTGTCTATGGAGCTCTTATCAGCTAAAACCTGCTATGAGGGAGGAATAATAAATCACAAAGGTGCTTCAGAGTCCTTAATGCAGGACAAATTATGGAGGTGTCCTCACAAGCATTTTTATAACACAGAAAATACTGCAGCCAGGACTCAGAACAGCTATCAGTAAACAGAATTTCTGCCCCCCACCCCTCTCCCCTTCCCCTTACCTGTAAATTTGGTTTCTGTATTTCAGCTCCCTCAGTGCAGACTGAAAGCTTTACTCCTCCCTTCACTATCCATCAGCCAGCAGTCAACCAATAACTGAGAAGACATCCTGGCATCCTCTCGAACATGCTCTCTTCTGTACTTCCCACTCCCTAGCCCTAATTGCATACTGGCAAAATAATAGGAAAGCAGCAAGGGAAGAAAGGAGCACAATGAGAAAACAGCTTTAATAAGCTACCTAGCAATCAGTGAAAGGCTCTGCACTGTGAAGGAATGATACAAAATTTAAAGGGGGAAAGAAAAGCTGTCTCCCTATTAGTAACCTTCAGCTCCACCCAGTGACTAGCAATTTTCTCTCTCCTTCTGCTCTTTATTCCTGAGGAAGAGCACAGAAGTGCAAATATGTTTACTGTCTACAGGCTTTCTTAGAGACTGGCTTAGTTATCCAGAAGTTCAGGACAAAATGCTGTTGTACATTTTTAAAAAGTATTTTTTTTTATTATGGAGAAAACTGAGAGGTTCTGTGTGGCATAAATATCAGAAATACTTTATCAAATTAGAGTAATTAAAAACCCAGTGACAGTGACTTCCAACTATCTTCAAGCTAATAAAACAGCTATTAATGTTATCTGTACAGGTCAAAGATGCCAAGATGCCAAGGCAATAGCTGCACTGCAGTGACAGAAGGAGTAAGGAAAAACAAAAATCAAGGAGGGAGGTGTCATGCTCATATTTGTTTAACAGAAAATGGTGGCTCTCTCAGCCTACAAAGATTACATTTTGATCTATAGTTTTCTTTGTCTATAATATGAATTTTTTATTATAGGAGATTTCCCACTCTATGCTCAAGTCTTAATTAGCACAGTAATTTATTTATTTAATTTTGGGGAAGTATACTAGGAATTCAAGTTTTCAGCCTGCAATAAGTTCTCTGAAAATACGAGAGAGAGACAGAATAATTGGCAGACATTTCCTGAGTGGATGTTTCTCCTTGAAGTCTCAGATGCAGGTAGTGCTTGCATAGTATTATTTGTTGCAGTATTCCAGTCATGGACCAGAATGTCACTGTCCTTGGGTCAAAGCAAAGATTCATAGAATAACTGAACTAGGAACTTCCAAAGCATGCACCTCAGTTATACTGACAGATCCATTTGTGATCTTCACTAGATCTTGACAGAGAGGTAGTTAGTTATGCTAGTCTGAAGGCAGGGTAGAGGCACGCCTTACAGACTAACTGAAGCAAAGCTGCATAAGCTTTTGCAAGCAACAGCAAAGCTGAGGAACAAGAAGTCATCCACAGACTGGATTACATTAAGTATGGTCTAAACAAGGACTATGGATTCTTATCCTACTACTGGATTAGTTTTCATGTCCATATGGATTTGTTGCTTTGTTGTTACCTCCAAGCTGCTCTACATTTCCTAGCAGTGCCCCTTCTTCCTTTTCCCCTTTCCTATCCCTTCCGTCTTTTGTATTTAGATCACTCCTATTTGAGAGCCTGCTCTCTGCCTGTCCTTTCATAGCAACTGATAGAGTTGTTGTTCATGAAACTTATGCATCTCTGATTTTGTTAGTCTACAAGGTGCGTCTCTCTCCTGCCATGCCCCAGGGGAAAACCAGGAGCAGCAGTCATAAACTCCTAGAAGGAGGTTTCAGACTGGATATAAGGAAAAACTTCTTCATGGTTTGTGTGACCAGACTCTGGAATAGACACCCAGCGGGGGTGATGCAGGCACCTACCTTGGAGATCGTCACAGCAATCATATGATTGCTATGAATGCTATGAAGATCTCCAGGGTAGGTGCCTGCACCACCCCGCTTCAGAAGGAGACTGGACACACACCTTGCTGGGGTTATTTGACCCCAGCAGTCTCTCCTGCCCAGAGCAGGGGGGTTGGGTCTGATGATCTCACAAGGTTTCTTCCAGTCCTAAACTTCTTTGAATCTGTGGATCTGTTTGCCTTCTAGATCTTGACAATGAGAAGTCTTTACAGTCTCTCAGAATTGCCCATTTCTGATCTGGTATCTGTGTTAAGTGTAAGCTCAGCAGAACACAACCGCACGTAACTAGGTCATACCTGTGTAAATGAAAACAGAATAAACCCCAAGTCAGACTGAATTTTAAACATGCTCAAGGAAGACATTTGGGGCCAGATCCAGACTAGTAAATTAAACACCTAAATAGGATTTAGGCTGAATTTAAGTACCTTAGTCACAAAAAAACTCCAAAAAATCATTTGGGATAGCCCAGATCCAGTGGCTACTATGCATGTTAGGTCCTAAATGTCATTCATGTGAACTCCCTGGACATTCTACAGCTAACCTCAGGACTGGCGTTCTCAGGCACCAAAATTAAAACCATTTTGAATGGGAAATTGCAGAAGAAATTATCAACAAATTGGATTATGTTAGGTCTGGTTTAAACAGGGGACTACGAATTCTTATCATATTACCTGGATTAGTTTTTTGATCCCTTTGTTCCTATAGGCTCTTTGTTTGCTGCATCTCCCAGTACTGCACCCTTCCACTCCCCTCCCTTTGCCTCCTCCCTTCCCATCCTGTATTCAAATCTCTTATTCCACTTTATACACTGCTCTATGTTTATCCTTTCACAGCATCTGATGAACTGAGCCCGAGGTCACAAAAAATTGTGTTCTATATATACGTATCTTATTTACTATACCAGTGATTCTCAGCTAGGGTTCTGCATCACCCTGGGGTGTCTTAAGATCCCTTAAGGAGTACCACAGCATTAGTACTGCTGGGTGTGCAAACATAATTAATAAGATAAACCCACAGATTTCCAATAGGAATCCATAATGTCAAAAGCATTCTGACCTGTTGTGGTCTTTCTGAGGTCTGTAAGAATTGCTTTATAATTTTTCCCTACCCAAAAACAAGTGAAAACTAAGAGGTGGCATTTTTTAAGGGGTACCTAGAATCTACCCAGGGCTACTTTGGGTGAAAACAGGTTGAGAACCACAGTTCTATAAGGTGCATCTTTAGCCTGCTTTCTGCCCGACATCAGATTAGCATGGCTAGCAACCTCTATCTGCAACGTAGCATTTGCCATATCAGAAAGGATCAGCAGTTCATTAAGTACTGTATTCTGCTTTTGTAAGTATCCACTACCTCCTGCTTTAAAGAAAAGTGAGTATATGGAATGTACTTAAGGTCAATAGCCTTTGCTGACCAAAGTCAAGTTATATTCTTAGCATGACTTTTGACTTTCCTACATGCAAGTGTTAATTCAGTTAATCGCTGCTTTTGAAACTCCAGCTACAGTATTTTCATGACCGCCATGCATAGCAATATATCCTGCAAAATATGTCACTATTGGTATAATCACCATTAGCATTGAGCCTAAAGGCTTATTGCGCCTTTATACAGTAAAATCCCTCTTATGCGGGATTTTACTAACCGGCACACTCTAGTAAACAGAATTTCCAGCCAGCTGGAACCCTGGAGGGGGCGGGGTAGGGGGGAAAAGCTGACATGCCGCCGCCACCCCCGCCCCCTGCTCCATGTGAGGCTGCAGCCAACCCCCTCCGCCCCCCGCCCTCTGCTCTGTGTCTGGCTGGAAACCCTGTGCCCTCAGGTAACCAGCATTTTCACATTACCGATGCCCCCATTCCCCAGTTGTGCTGGATAGCAGGGATTTTATTGTACTTGAGAAAAGGGTACTTGCATTATGCACTTCAGAAATTTTGTTGATGATGGAGAGTTTGATTGCAGTACTTTGGAAGAAGAGAGTAGACATACCACCCCAACTGCATCCAATTTCAATTGGTCTTAGAAGCTAAGTGGGCCAGGACCTGGCTGGTACTTGGATTGGAGACCCCCCTGGAATGCCATGCACTGTAGATAGAAGCTGAAGATAGGAACTGAGTTGTTGTTGTTGAACACGTCTTAAAACTTCAACCATAAGAACCAAATGAGTTCTAAACCTTAATTCAGTCAGTTGTCAATGCTGAGCTGACAAACATGAATAGAAAAAAGGACATAGTATGAAAAAAGACAGCATCCATCTGAAGCGTTCATTGGGTTGTTGATGCCATTGTACAAGCAAACCATTTTTTCAGCAGTTCCTATGGTTGTAGAATAAATAGCTGTCATACCTTTATTAATGGCAAGTCAATCCTGCAGCTTAGCAGATCTCTAAAAATGGCATAACTAGTCAGTAAAACTAGACATAACAGCAGATAACTGCAGTCTGGAGTCCCACTCCCAATTTTGTTGTCTAATAAATAAAAACACTCCACAAGTTAATATGGCACTAACAATTCAGAAGTCGCTTGCAGAAACAAACAGTATCGAAAATGAAAACCCTTTATTTACTAGTAAAGGCTATGCACCTTAAGAAAATAACTTGACAGTATTTCTGTGGGTGCAAGAAATACATGATTAATGTCAGAGAGCATAATACACAAGGGAGAAAAAGTAGTTGTCACTGTTACTTAAGAGCAGCTCCTAGTCTTAGTTACTGGGCTGTAGAAAGTTGGAAAACAATGGTCACAACTGCAGAAAGCACAGTGGCTTCAGAAGTCTTTGTTTTGGTTTGGTTTACTTTGGCTTTCTTTTTTGCCTTTGTGAGATGGAAAACTGCTGGAATATTAAACATACATCATAGAGCAATTATAGTTTAACCTGTAGAGGAACATAAATTCTGCTAGAAGTTAACCAAGCAGAGGGCAAAGATCCAGAACTATATCAAAGGTTGACTATATTGCTGTAACTAACACCTCCTTTTGGTGACAAATTACAACCATGTTCAACTAGGATAGATTTAGACATGCACTTACCAACATGTAACTTACATTGCTCAACAACGTTGAGTCTATTTTATTGACTTGAGTACAATTTACACTGGTATAACATATAAGACAAAGGCCAGAATAAAGATGGGTAGATAAATGAATTAACCATCAAGAATATATACACGAACATGGGTCACCTTTAAATTACACTCTTCCTGCACCTCAGTATAGAAGTTACACTACCTTTGCTTCAAATTACTTACAGATAAATCACTAGGGATAACACACCTCATCTAC